CCTGCAGTTTTCCAATTTTCAGGAGGGAGCGCCTGCATTTCCATTAGGAAACCAGACTTGTTCCAATAGAACCTAGTCAGGAGAAGTTTAATAAAGAGCCTTAAACCTTTAAAAAGGTTTGCTATTCCATCTCAAGGATAGTTTCTTAAACCATAGTCAGGGTATCAGTAGGAAGTCACTAGTTCTAAAAAACTAAAAAAACTACAGCAACTAGAAAGAAAGAAAGAAAGAAAGAAAGAAAGAAAGAAAGAAAGAAAGAAAGAAAGAAAGAAAGAAAGAAAGAAAGAAAGAAAGAAAGAAAGCAAGCCAAAATGGAAGCAAGGATAGGTTAGGTTCTTTTGAAAGAAAAAAACCCTAGTTTTTGGGTGGGAGGGTTCATAGAAAGGTGTCAGGCTCTGTTAAGTTCAGATTGCAGAGCAGGTAGTTAGGTGCATAATACCTTCCCCACAAGTTAGAAAGAGTTTGGCCCAGGGTTAACACGATGAGCAACAGGAAGGGAATGCAGAGGGGCCCTGGGGGACAAGGCTAAGGAACACGAGGGAGGTGGAAAGGAGGAGGAGGGCTGCGGCTTTCCCCCCACTTCTGCGAAGAACTGCTTGATAGCTGCCTTCCACCGCTCCAACCTCTGGCTAGAGTGGTGCAATGACGAGGCCATGCAAGGCCCTCTTCATTGAGGCTGCTGCTGGGGTGCCCCTGCAGATGTGCCCATAGGTGCTGGCCCTAAGCAGGGGTCTGCTGTTCAGGCAGCCCGTCCTCCAGTTGTTGCTGAGGCTCAGCAGCAGGAGGAGGAGCAGCCTGAGCTGTCTTTTGGGGTGAGCCTTGAGGATGAGAGTGTTCCGACTCTGGAGCTCAGCTCAGGGACCAAAAGATTTATGGAGGAGCTAGAGGAAAGGCTGGATGCCTTTCCCACTGCTCTGGTTCCTTCAGAGTCCAGCAGGCCTTCATAGGAGGAACAGGTGGAGCAAGAGGAAGAGATGGAGGTGCACCCCATGCTGCTGCCATCTCAACCTCTTTCCCCTCAGGTATCTCTTTCTTCGGTCACCCTAAGACATGTTGTGTCTGCCCTGAGCTCCTCACAGGAGGTGGCTCCAGGGGTGCCTACACCCGCTGGTCTGCATGGGTGCCCCTATACCTCTGAATCCTGGAAGCACTTCCAGCTGACACAGAACCCCTGCTTCACACAGTGCCAGCTGTGTAGAGCCCGGATCAGTCAAGGGAAAGACTCCAATCATCTCTTGACTACTGGCTTGCAGAACCATTTGAAGAAGCACCACCAGGCAGTGCTTCTTGGGGGGGGGGGGCAGAGGCTGCTGCTGGAGTGTCCAAGCGTCCACCACCAGCCAACCACCACCATCTGACAGAGATGCTTGGTGAGGTTGGCACTAGGGTGCTGGGGGGGGGGGAACAGTAGGCAAGTAGGAGGGTCACTCACTTCCTTGTCAAAATAGTTGCTATAGACAGCTTCTCCTTCTCCATAGTTGAAGGCGCTGCTTTTCACAAGATGCTCCATGATGCCTACCCCTAGTACATACACCCTGCTCGCACCATGCTGAGCAGGACCATGTTGCCCTCATTGTACACGGCTATCAGGGACTATGTGAAGGCACAGTTGTCCCACACTTGCGGGAGAACTGTGCACTTAACGTCCAACATCTGGACCTCTGCACAGGCACATAATGTGAATCTCTCACTGACTGTACACTGGTGGAAACCCAGTGACACGATGGGTGGGGAACCTACTAGTGTTAGGCAGGGTCAGGGCAACCAGGCCAGGTATTGCCAGGCTCTGCTGCATACCAAGGTACTTGACAGGCTGCACATGGCAAAGAACATTTCAACCACTATCGAGAAACAGTTAGCAGTATGGGTAGGCAGAGACCTCTCCGTGGGCTTCAGAGGGGCTCAGCTACTGGGTGCCTTGGCTGAGGCATCACTCCATCCCCCTCTGTGGGGTCTATGGACACCTGTCCCCAGCTGGGGCAGTGTCTGGTGGGTTCAGGGCTCTGACCCACTGTCCCCTTTGCTCAAGCCAGGGCAGCGGGGCTTAGCTACTGGATGTCTCTCTCAGCTGAGGCCCTACACAGTCCCCCCCTGTGGGGCTTATGAATACCTGTCTCCATCTGGACCACTGTCTGGTGGGCTCAGGGCTCTGACCCACCAGTCCTTCCACTAGTTTTATTTGGGGTAGTTTTATTTTCATTGTGTGTGTTTGTTTTCCTAAGTCCTTCCTGTCTACCAACCTAGCCCAATGTGCCCTGCCCAGGTGGCAAATTTTAACCTAACCGCGTGTGTCCCTCTGCCAGGCCAAGGAGCTCGAATACTGAATTGTTGTGATTTAGTATCTAAAAGCCCAATGTGGCCTGCCCCAGGTGGCAAATTTTAACCTAACCCTGACCCTCTGCTATAGCCAGGCCGAGGGGCTCAGTTACTGAGTTGTAGTATTTTCATTATGTGTGTGTGTTTTCTTTTGGTCTTCTTGTCTAACAGCCCAGCCCCATAAGGCCTGCTCCAGGTGGCAAATTTTACCCTAGGCCAATTTGCCCTGCTCTACATGGTGAATTTTAACCAATAGCCTCCCACCGTCCATGCACATCCCCAATCTGCCTCCTTCATCGAAGATATTATTGCTATAGATGAGCATTCCATCTCGAGAGGGGCTACCACTTGAGAGTCCTTCTGCTCGAGGGTCACTCTGCCAATAATACAACCCCTCTCCATGTCTTTCCCCCCCAAGAATCACCCACCCCACTGGGGAGATAGATTCCGGTTCTGGCCAGCCATCCTCACCTTAGAAGGCCTTCCTCTCACTCACCCCACTGGAGAGATGGATTCTGGCTGTAGCCCCTCTCACCTGGGGCTAGCCCAATGTGGCCTGTCCAACGTGGCAAATTTTAACCCAGCCCAACATGGCCAGACCAATGTGGCAAATTTTAACCCAGCCCAATGTGGCCTGCCCAATGTGTCTAATTTCGACCAAGCCCAAGCCTCCTCTCACCCACCCCATTGGGGAGATGGATCCCAGCTGTGGCCCACCTTTCTCACCTGGAGCTCGGAGGGGGTTGTTCTGAGGCATCCTGAACTCACAAACCCACTAACCAGTTTGGTAAACCAAGAAGTTCATGGAGGTTTGCAAACCATGGTTCGTGAGGTTTGATGAATCACAAATCATCATGAACTACCATTTTCCTGGTTCATGCCCCTTCTTACTCTTAGTGTCAATGACTGTCAGAGGTCTTTGTGACATGTTTCAATTTCATGTGTCTTGCCTCCTCTGCCTGAAATAACGCAATTGTGCCCAGCTCCCAAACAACTAGTTTTGAGGTTTATGATGCCCCGGGTGTAAAATACTTCTCTATCCCTGATGGAATGAAAACAGGTATCAAACTGCTAGAAGTTGAAACTCAGCCATACAAGCACTGATTTTTATACAGCCTCCTGCATTATCTAGTTGTGTAACTCCACAGAGATGCTAATTACATTCTTTTTAAAAAAACCAAAAACACCAAGAGCTAACAAATTTCTACCATAAAATCTCAAGTTAAATGCTTTCCCAAATAGCACAAAATCAATAATAAGCTGTAACACTTCAAACACCTAACAGAAATAGAATTCTATTATGGTTTATTACAACACAGCTGCTCAGCAGGCTATGACTATTATATCTAAAACGTCTGCCTTGCATTTCACTCAGTTTATACCTTTCTTGCAGTCATTTAAAGCATCTGATACTCTCCTCTTAGACAACAAAATGTACTGAGACCTCTCTCAAGTAGAAGGTCCTACAGCTAAGGCTTCCTTCCAGCAGACAGGCACCCTGTTCACAAGCACTCATTCTTGTTTTCAAAGGTCTTGATAAAATGGTGGGCCAGGTCCCGAAAAGCTAATCCTAAGGGGCTGGGGCTTGCATTTATTGGACTGCAGCTCTTCAAATCACATGACAAATTACTTTTGAAACCAAAGTCCAGGGGTATTTTACAGACTAACAATACTTAAAAAGGTAAAGGTTCCCTTGCTCGAAAGCCAGTCGAATCCGACTCTAGGGTTGCGGTGCTCATCTCCGTTTCAAAGCCGAAAAGCCAGCACTGTCCGAAGATGTTTCCGTGGTCATGTGGCCGGCATGACTAAACACCAAGGCACACGGAACACTGTTACCTTCCCACCAACGTGGTACCTATTTATCTACTTGCAATTTCTTGCTTTCAAACTGCTAGGTTGGCAGGAGCTGGAACTAGAGACGGGAGCTCACTCCGTCTTGCAGCACCCGGGTCTCGAACTGCTGAACTACTGACCTTCCACAGCCTGCAGTTCAGTGTCTTAACCACTTGAGCCACCGCAGCTCCAACAATACTTACCTCCAGCATAACTACTTTTGAGCTGTGAGATAAAAACTGATGACATGAATAAATCTGGTTAATCAGGTAAGCAACCTGTTTATCTTCGACGTGGTCTCTGTGCTTCACACCCATGGGAGATTAGCGAGCAGTGGCCTACCTGGAGGAAGGTGCTGGCAGGTCATTACTGCGAAGCCAAAGATAAGAAAAGGAGGAAAAAACTAAGAAAAAATCCGAAGAGAAATCTGAAGAGCCTCTGAGGAAAATAGCTACTAATCTCACCGACCAAGGAAAGGTGTTTTCCAGCACGGCGGAAAGGAACCGGTGGGATGTCCACGCCCTCCCCTCTGGGCATGTGTGGTGGGGGTTCCTGCGCATGCCTGAGGTCTGGGCGTGAAAATCTGTTAGAGATTGCTACAATACCGATCAATCCGGTGCAGGCGCACTGGATCCCATGGGTGTGAAGCACAGAGACCACGTCGAAGATTATCTATTATCTGCTGTTTTTAAAGAAGACATACAGAGAATCTTGCTTAGGGACTTGGCAAATTTTGCTAGAATAACCTCAGGAGCCATGATTGCTTTGAAAATTTATTCTAGTAGTACCCTGCCTTCATTTAAAGTATTATCAGAGACATGGATGATATGGGTTAAATACATTTAACTTACCTGAGTAATGACTGGAGGAGGACAGGTAGCAGTTGGAGTTCGGCACACTTTTGTGTAAACACAGTTGTTGTCACACCAGACACATTCGTATTTGGGATCAGCCGCAAGACACAAGCTGCAATCACTTCGACCAAAGGAACAGCTGTATAAAGTCACTGTAAAGATAAGTTGTATATATTTTGAATTTGTTTTAATATCACAATTTATGTTTAAAGTAAGTCAAAGTTTAAAGTACACCAAGGGTATTAGGCACAAAACAAGCCATAAGTTGCACCAGAGGTACCTGCGATGGAGTAGGAAAAATTGCAGTCGATTTTCAGTATGAAAAATGTAGAGAGGTTATATATACGTGTGTGTGTACGCACTAAATCTTATTCTAACAGAGGAAGCCTTCCTCCATTAGAAAAAAAAAATCTTTGGAGATAGACTTAGGAGAACAGAGTCATGGGATCCAGCTTACTGGAAAGAAGTCACAGAATCCAGCCGGTAGAAGCCAGCAATTAGTAAGAACAATAGAACATTCTCCCTTGTAAGGCAGAGAGCAGCAAAAAAGAAGAAGCGGAGTCTTCCTATACAAAAAGCTAGAGAACAATTTTAAAGGAGGCACTCAGTTGTGAGGAAACAGAAATAGTACTGGCTAGTTGTTGCAGGAGATGTCATGCCCCAAACCTGGAGAAGTATTCTTATCAATCTAAGAAAATTCAAGAGGATCAGGCAGTTATTTCACTAATCTGAAATACACAAACCACACTAAAGGTTTCCAAGCTCTATTCACAATATGAAACTATGTAACAAAAAATCAAACTTCACACAGCATAGCCCAACAGGGACTTTCATATATATAGCTTCCTGTTTGCCAACAATAGGTTCAAACCTATTTATGTATCATTTTATAGTTTTCTAAGGCCAAAGGAATCTAAAGAGTTCAGTAGTGTGCAGAAGAAGTTGACAGATTAGGTTGGAGATTAGAAATGGGAAGGCACTGCAGACTACTAGACTCTTGATAAAGAATGATCTGCCAGTTTTGGTTACCACAACCATGAATCACAGAAGAAGACAGAATGGCCTCTTAGGCCCATAACTGTTTTATATTTGTTGATGAAGGGTTCAGCTAACTTGAGATGAATTTGTACAAAAGTGTCTTGAGATACAGCAGCACTTGGCCCAACTGGATAGTACAATGGCCTACTTCCAAAACATGTGGAATAAACCTAAATGCTGGATAATTAGGGCTCAGTGGCAGGGCATCAGTTAAAAGACAACATATCCCAGTCATGAATGTTTTAACATACTCTAATATCCAGGCAGGTGATAGCCACCTAATTGAAAGCAATTATACTAAAGTTTACTAACTACAACATTTTAATTCTAAGTGGCTGCTTCGTGAAAAAGACACTAAGTACAAGTGAAAAACTCTCTGATTACTTGGCTTGGTAGAACTATCATTAACCTTGGCAAGGGAAAAACAATCCTCAGTATGGCTACACTTCCTAAGCAACTCACATTATGGTCAAAGAACTGTTATACTCTCTCTGTTCTGAAAATATTTAAAATGGCACATTCTTACCAAACACATCTTTAGAATAGTTTTTTTCAAAGCATTATAAACTTGCAAGCTGAATTAAGCTTTATTTATTTTGAGGAACAGTAGGCTTGGAGTTTGTTTCCCTTTTTGGACTGGCTTGTAATTGTATTGCTGCAAAGCTGTTCAAGGTGACATAGTTGCATGCTGACACAGAACAGCTGAACTGGACTGGACTGCTTTCCCCTGTGATTGATGACTGACTGAATGGAGAGCTAATGGGCAGACCTGACTAACAGGTTTGGTTAAATTGGAAATGCAAGGCCAGCACATTAGAAGGAAGTGGGAATGGAATGAAAAATCTGCAATACTGGCAGAAGAAGATATTTAGATCTAGAAATTTTAAAACAAACAAACACAGAGCTCTGCGGTTTCCAAAGAGTTTGGCAGAACTGTCAACTTCCAGTACAAGTTCTGCCTCTTGACCTTGGTATCAGATGGAAGCAGGAAAAAACACACCCTTTCCCTTCGTATTAGTACCTACATATGTAGCCCTGTCTAATGTTGATTCTCATCACTGCTGTGGTTCTGAAATGTACTACAGGCGTCCACCTCTAGCCTTCGCCAGATGGGTGGGCTGGTTTGCTAAGAAAAGCATGCAGAAGTTATTAGCTCTTGGTTGGTTATTATGGGAAACATTAAGCTGGACTATTTGGACCATTGGTCTAATCCTGCAGAGCTCTTCTCATATGCCTTCTCATATGGCTTATTCTTTCAGGTAACCTGGTATGCATGAGGCGATGGTTCAAACATGGGGCATAGATATGACCGCTTCCCATTTACACAACGAGCTGGAGTTCAAACCCAAATGTGATTAAATATATGGACGTGATTAATTGAATCATCAGCTTCTGAGGTTTAGGAACCATCAGTCTAGCTTAAGCTTTGGCAATTAATAACTGTTCAACCCCACTGGTAGGAATCTGATTCTCTCAGATGATATGGTTATAAACCTGATCAGGAATGCATGGACATTATTTTACATGTCATGATTCTTTCTCAGAGAAATGCACTCATGCATTCCCAGGGCCGGCCCGAGGTGTTTCTGCGCCCTAGGTGGGGTGCAGATGCCAACCTCCCGGTAGAGCCTGGAAACGTCCCAGCTGGCCGCCCCCCTCTGCTGCCGCCCCCTCCCCCTTGGCCTCGATGATCTTGCAGGTGGCCAGCGGCAGGGGCCGCGGGGGAAGTTCCGCTCAGCTCGGCTCTTGGGGGCTGCTTAGGGCAGCTGAGCGGGAACCCTTGGGACTGCAGGGCAGCTGCGGCACGGGCGCCTGTCCTGGCTGCGCTAATGACTACCAGATTTGGCCGAGCCGCCACTGCCGCAGAAGGGCCACTGCTGCACCACATTCCTGCAGCTGGGCTGGGGGGGGGGGGGAGGGGGAAGAAGGGAGGCCGCTGAGGTGGGGGGGCGTGTGTGTGCCCGCATGCCACACCACCCCCAAAGTCTTCCGGGATCAAACATTTTTTGGGGGGAGAGGTGGTGGAAGGCGGCCACGTTCTGACGACTCACCGGCTTCCTGGCGGGCCAGCTAGGGTGCTGCTGCTCTGGCTTCCTCCTCCTCGTCCTCCTCCTCCTGCTGCCGCTTCTTCCCATTCCCTCGCCCACCTCTCTGTGACTGCCTTCCCCCCTCTTTTTGGGGAGGGGAAGGAAGGTGAGAAAAAGATGCAGGAGGACTGCGGGGGAAGAGGGGCGGCCACACATCCTTGGGCGCACGTGGTCTAGAGGGAGAAATGAGGCAGTGGTGGCAGTCACCCGGTCGGGCTTTTTGGCGGGGGTTGAGGGGCTTTGGCAGTGGGATGACGGGTCCTGCTAGTGCCCCTAAGGGCCGGCCTGCGCTCTAGGCGAGTGCCTAGTTCGCCTAGTGGGTGAGCCAGCCCTGTGCATGCCCCCATGTGAACACTGAGATACAATTGGTTTGACTCCCAAAACTGGGTAATGGAACTCTTCAGAGTTCTGGATTTGTAAATCCGTTAGCTAGCTGAACCTTCACACTCTACCAAGTAGGATCTCCATTGCTTCTTTTTTTCATCACTGTATGCACATAGGAAAATGAGTCCTTTGTCTGTAAAGGCAGCATCTGAAATGTCTCTAAATCAGGACCATAATATTGTTGAAAGTCCTCACTGTCTAGACCCTATACAGAGACAGAGCTCATTGCGTTAATCATAAGCTTTCTTATACATTGATCAGCTCATTAAATGTACCAGCAGCAAGCCAGAAATTAGATTCAGTTCTTATCCATCATCTTTAGATACCAGCTGGGAAACCACTGATAAAACAGGACAAAGAATAAAAAGGATATATTGGATTTCATACTGTTCAGGGTCTCCAGTGACTATAAAGAGATGTTAGATGTGAGTGTTACTTGGTATTCTCTAAATGTGTTATAGAAGGAATGGATTCATTTATACGGGGCAATGCAATAATTTTTCCTATGAGTCACAGTAACTAAATTCATCTATGCTAAGGATGATACAAAGGAAAAAAAAAAACTATTGTATATGTCCATGTGAACAGGCACATTCACTGTATTCTGCCATTTCTATCAGCGTTCCTTAAACTAAATGCACATTGTAATAAAAGTTATAGAATATATATATATATACACACACACACACATTGTAAACAGAGACTCACTGAACTGTGAGGATGAAAGGGAAAGGATAGTTGTCACATAAGATCTAGTTTTCTGGTCATTCCAACAATAATTCTTTACATTTATTCTAGATATGATTCTTCGACAAGGTTGTCCAAAAATGGACAAAGCATAATACTGCCAGTGTGTTATACAATGGTAAAAATACTCTGCAGTGCTTTATATTGTACCAGATGAAACCTAGAATTTTATTTTGCCTATTTTGTGGTCACATTCCATTAGTGGCTCACAGCAGTCTTATATTAGATGACATAGGGGCATTAGAATTGTAAAAGTATATAGCTACTAGATGTAAGGCCCATTGTGGAAAGAAATACTACGAGCTCCAGAAAGAGGTTCTGGGTGAGTGTCCTGGCTGTGGCTGGTGGGGTGGCGGAGGGAAGGGGAAAATAAAGGGAAGTGAGCCATGCTTATTTCCTTCTGTTTAGCTATAAGGCAGGGCTGTCGGTAGTACGGGAGGAGAACTACATGGTAACAGGTATGGTTCCCTCCACCCCTGGTTTATGTTGATTTGGGGCTATGCAGTGGCAGCTAGGGTAGAAAAGCACCTCCTCCTATGCCATGTTTCCCGAGTTCCAAGGGTCTGGAAAGTAGTTCCATAGCTGATTACACGGTTGCCAACTCTGGGTGGGGAAATACCTATAGATTTGAGGGGTAGAGCCTGGGGAGGGCAGGGTTTGGGGTGGGGAGGGCCCTCAGTAGCGTATCATGCCATAGAGTTCACTGGCAAAAGCAGCCATTTTCTCCAGGAGAACTGATCATGGTCACCTGGAGATCAGTTGTAATAGCTGGAAATCTCCAGGTGCCACCTGGAGATTGGCTTATATGGGGAGAGACCTCAGCAGGAGATAATACCATAGAGTCCACTGGCCAAAGCAGCCATTTTCTCCAGGAGAACTGATCTTAGTCATCTGGA